TGGAAGCTCTTGGGGTTGTGGACTTTCTCAGTAGTTACCCAGTGCCCAACATAAGGGGACCCCAAGTTTTTATCAGGGTCTTTGGTTAACCATGGCACACAAAGGATGACAAACAGTATTTCTAAGGAAGGTGCTCTGCTGGGAGGTTGAATACAGGAAAATGAAATGAGAACTCAAAGGGATCCCAAGTACCACCAGTTCAGAGTCCAAAGAAAAAAAGCAAGAAGATTAAGCCAAGTACCTCTGGCCAGTCTTTTTCCTTTAACTGCAAAGAAAAGCAATCTTTACAAAGTGATAAAGCCATCCAAGAATGGCTGTGGTTGTTTCTTTTAAATGAACCAAAGAGAACAGATGGTCTCCTCTCATACTGTCACAAAGGTCAAGTCCCCAGTTCAGAGTCCAAAGAAAAAAAGCAAGAAGATTAAGCCAAGTACCTCTGGCCAGTCTTTTTCCTTTAACTGCAAAGAAAAGCAATCTTTACAAAGTGATAAAGCCATCCAAGAATGGCTGTGGTTGTTTCTTTTAAATGAACCAAAGAGAACAGATGGTCTCCTCTCATACTGTCACAAAGGTCAAAATTAGCCACCCCTAAGACTAGCAGGTTCTTGAAATGCTCAAGTGCTTGTGTCTGGTCGTTATGACTAATCCACTCTCCAGAACAAGAAAGGTCAAATGAAGAACACCCCTCCAAATACTGCAACAACTCCTAGCCATGGCTGATGTGCAATGCACTCAGACATGGTGTCAATAGCTGCTCCTAAAACCCAATGAGTCAGCCTTTCAAAAGAGCTTGTCAGCTCTCACTGTTAGAGCTTTCATACAGATTATATTTACTCCCCAATGTTTAAAAATATCCTTCTTAAACTCTGAAAATATAAAATGTTTTCCTTACAGAATTCGTCCTTTCTCCCCAGACAGCTGCCCAAGAACGTCTCATGTATTTATTTGGGAGCAAAACTTCCCAGCTCTTCTTTCGCTTTCTTCTTCACGTGCTGACAGCTAAACCAAAGGCAGGCCTCTGTTTCTGAAGTCATGTACAAATGAAGAATTTCTGGTCCCTTTCACAACTTTTACCTGCAAACCACAGTCAGCCTTCCAGAGTACTGTGACATTAAGTGTTCTGCTCAACGGATAGGGTACAGAGACATTGGGTGACTTGCCTTTGGTCCTACAATAGGCATGCAGGCACAAATCCCCTATCCATCCCCTACTCTAATCACCAATCTCCCTTGGATTCTGTCATTTAAATAAAAAGGCCTATTGGAAATGACAGGTGAAAAAAGCAGTCCAGGCATGAAATGCACTCTAAAGTATATTAATAGAAGGTTGCCAGACAAAACGGCACAAGGCATTTGATCGCATCATCTTAGGCTTGTTGTTCATGCTCCTTTGCATCTGGCTGCGTGATTTCTGCCAGATTCTCGGCTGGAGGAGCAGGCTAGGATTTGCCTGCTTTCCCTAACCCGTGCAGGGCTCAGCTGCAATCACGCAGAGCACTGAAAGAAATCCCTTTGAGTCGGGATTCATTCCGAACATGTAAAACCCAGACAAATGACTGCTTCTCCAAAGTGAATCCCATTTCACAGCAAGTAGGTTATTAGTGTGGAACTCCATACAAGTAGCCTGCATTCAAAAGCCCTCTGCATTATTAATAGAAGATGAGCTTTTGACATCAAAGGAGAACCATTATGTATGCTAAATGGTGGCAAAAATTGTACCCGCACTTCAAACCTTTTCAGTTCTTTGTCCCTTGTAAATCAATCAAGGTTGACAGATGCTTTAAGGAGAGTAATCTTTTCAATGATACTGTCAATGGATAACATAATGGAACATTGTCTCTGTGCTGTGTGAAGACATGGAGCTAGTCAATTATGGACAACACTTCATGCAGCCGCCAGTTTTCACTTGAAGTGCTGCTGTTGAAGTATTATAATCCCAACAAATGGCCGCAGCAGCATACAATGTAAATGAGACCTCCTGAAGCTTTGGAAAATTAATTAGTAACAACAGTGGTCCATTCCCACACTTTCAAACACCAGCCTGGTAATGTTAACGATGCACTTCCCCCCTTCCCTTTGAGCAGTCAATAGGGCATATTTACATACACTATTTTTAATCTTCAACACTTTTTTTCCCCCTTTTTAAATGCAGGAAGCTCTGGATTCCTTTCCTCTCTTTCGAGCAGCAAACTTCACCCCTGATATTTCCAACCAGTCACATAACCCACATGGCTGGAGCTGAAAACAAGAGAACAGAGACTTTCCCACTTGGAGACAGCAGTAATATTCACTCCTCTTGCTTCACACATCGGACACTTTGTGGCTGTCTCCTTTTCCAACACTTCTATCTCCTCAGCTGCCTTGAGAAGAATGGCTTGGATGGATGGCAGGGGAAAAGCTTCTGGTCTCAAGAGACCAGTAGGATGTGAGTTGAAAGCCCTATGTACTGAGTGCCAGCAGCACCTAGGTCAAACTGTGGTGCACTGGATGCCAACATATATATCCAATTGCCAGCTTCTACAGAAAGAAGATTGAGAGTCAAAGGAGAGAGATTGTGCTGGGTTTCTAGCTATTGGCTTCTATTTCCTACGTCATTTTCTCAAAGATTTTCCCTTTGTCAACCAAGACTTGTGCTAAGAGGAACACTTAATCTCCCACAGTAACAGAGAGAAATCCCACACTTGAGCACAAAATTTCTAAACTCCTATCAATTGCAGGTTTTCATTGCTATGATCTGTGAATGCCCCCTTATCTATAATGTGTTTTTGAAACAACCAGGTGCAGATAAGAAACTCAATCACTGAGGTCTTCTTGGACAAGAACAGGCTGTTCCTTGAACCCAACTCGCTCTTCCCCAGGCTCCAAACAGCTGGAAACAGATGCAGCTGCTCTCTCTCCTCATTTAATATAGATTCAGTCTTCTGCATTATGGACAGTATTCTGAGAAGCCCTTGCAGTGGTTGACTGCAGAAAGCTTCAAACTGCAGCAGTCCCCTGAACCCTCAAAACATACAGACAATGGTTAAACAATACTGACAATAGTTAAACAATACTATGAGGCAACAGAGGAAGCAACAGCAGCCACACACCCTCCCAGGCATTACCTGGCCAGCTGCCACTGCTGATGCCAAGAAGAAAAGGGAATGTTTGGTCTACTAGAGGTCCCCCTCCTGGGAATAGAAAAGACAGAGGAAAGGATATCTTCTGCCTAGCCTTAGAAAAGTCAGAGACTGATCCAAACTTTTTCCCACTCTTGCATAAAATAAACTACCATAGAAGAGAGAAACAAACAGGAATCAGGAGGTTTCAATTCCTCCTTCCTTTTGCTGGAACAGGTCTGTCAAGAAAACAGTGGCACAACTGCATTTCTATACTCACTTCCCACTCAAACTCCACAGTGCAATATGCACAAACACAAGACAAAAAAAATCTCTACTGCATCTTGATGAGAAAGCTTTAGGCTAACATTCCTGCCATGATGAAAATGGCTTTTTTTCCAATTACGGTTTCTTTTGCTGTGCAGACTTGTCTGCTTTTGTATCTGTTTTTAGATTTTGTTTCTCTAGAGCTAAACACATGGAATGCTGCAGGGTGCCTATCCTCCTCCACCCACCACCTCTGCCACAAGCTGGTTGGGATGGCACTGCAGAGGAGGCAGGCACCATGCCCTAGCTGTCCCCATCTTTGAGAGGAGACCCAGGTTTACCTCTCTGTACCAGGAGGATGAAGTATAAGCAAAAAGGGGACAGCAGAGTCTGGGAAAACGTATGGTGGGTAACAAAGAGGGTTAAGAACACAGCAGACATAAAATCAGGGCCCAAGCAGTAGGTTCTTCTGCTCTTCTCTGCTTGGTGCAGGATTCCAAAGCAATTTTTAATTGAGCCTGTTTCCATTATATAGCTGCCAAATGTCATCCACTGCCTTCCTTCCTCACAGCTCATGGCTGAAAGTTCCCACTGCCTTGGCTGAGTTGCGTTTCTGAATATTCCTTATCCCAGTCAAAGCAAAATGGGACACCAAACACCTCTTACTTGAAAGACTGTCCACTTATGCAAACCTGGAGTGCACAGACTGAAACAGAGCAAGGGACAGTTGTATAGAAGTAGCTTAGCTGGCAGTTCCACAGGTGTGTAAGGTGGGCCAGGAGGAGCGAACAAGCAGTTGCAGGCAGGCTTGGGCATTGTGTGTTTTGCTTGCACAACTTTCAAGGAAAACTGATGCACAAAAAAGGCTATCGAAAGGGCCAGGATGTCATACTTGGACACAAAGTTGCAACACACTGGACCAGAGTCTTAAATCTACTGACTTCCGCAGAGCTACTGCAAGCAATGTGTGGTAAGGATCTGTTCTACTCTATTTGAAGCTTGCTTTAAAAACATATGCCCCTTTCCAACTCATTTTTAGGAGTTTACCATTTATTTCCAATATCCAGAGATACCTACACATATACTTTCTTCCAAGTTACAGGACATGTATTGAGCAATTGCAGATTTTTTTGCAGAACAGTTTTCCATGGTAATATCAAAGAATTTCAAAAGCATACATTGCCTTTGTCACAACTTTCAACAGAAAATTATCTAACCTTTTCTTTCAAGTTTATTATTTTTACTTCTATTTGCTATTATACTATTATTTAAAGTGTACAAGTAAAAAATGTGCCAATATAATATAAACAATGAAACAATAAATCTGATCCAGTTGATCAAAAGACAAAAGATCTTCTGATAAAAACTAAGTGTTCCAATAATTCAGAACCAAAGGTTATAATATGGAAGATGAAGAACCTGCCTCTGTTCATGTGTCCAATGACAATACATAAGATCACAACTTACCACTTTTGGATAATATAATTATAAGAGGGAAGATGGTAGCTGCTAAGGACAAAAAATTTAAGTAGCCTCCTATTCATATTAAAATAAAATCCACACAATCCAATTAAGCCAGACATTTATCATTAAAAAATAAAATTAGGAAGAATTAATTAAAAGAAACATTGCTTACATAAGAGAAGTCTTCGGCATTCTGACAGAGGAGCTTGGGAAAAACAGCCTGTCGCTGAAATCTTTCCTCATCTTCAAAGATGTTCCCATACATGAAGCCATTCATCATGGTGGAGTGGGCATGGATGTCAATATAGAACTCCAGGTTAATCTTCTGTTGAGGGAAAACAACAACAAAACATTCAGCATGAGATAAATCAAAGCTGTGTTATGTAGGTGAAGTCTCCCATAAATCCAATACTGCCATCCTTGAATCTAACCATGGTGCCATCGTCAGAGAGCCATGTTAAAGACATTGCTTTGATGCATCCAGCCATTCATGCCTCTATGTGGGTGCATGTGAGATGCAACACAGGACCATGATAGACATTTATTTACCTGTTCTGAGAAGGCTGGAACTTTTATGCAGCACAAGACACTGTGCAAAGTAGAGCCAAAACGTTATCCTTCACTTTGATACAGGGCTTAGTGCCACTGATAAAAATATGCACTTTCCAGTTCTAGAGCATGATTGTTCGGGCATAGCTTTGCCATGTCTGCACAGTTCTGCATTGCAATATGCAGATGTACCCTTCTGTCAGGAAAGACAGGCTCAAAATTGTGTAGAAAAAGACTTCAGTATTTCCTGTGCAGTTTATTTTGGTTTATAAGGAGAAATACCGCAAATGTTTTTGTCATACTCCGCTTTGTAGTAGTAACTCAACAGAACAACTCCCAAAAGCAAATGCCTTGAATGCCTCTCCGCTTGTAGCTTCCCATGTGATTCTGCATCAACTCTTGCTTCAAAAGAAAACACCAGGACCCCCTAACACAGAGGTGCCTGCTCTCCCCATACCCTTCCTGGACTGGCAATTCAGTGTCAGGAGGCTCTGTAAGAAAACGCTGCTCAAGTCTCCAGTCCAGGGATGCATCTTTTTCCTCACATCATATATAAGTGATACTACTTCCCCTGCCATCAGTGGCAAAGACTGAATGTTCACCTTGATCCCCACATACAGTGCCATTGACAGCAGTGAGAAGGCGACATCCAGTACTAAAATGCTACCAGGGCAGATGCCACAGGATTACCCAGAGTTTCCTCAAACTCTTGCAACTTCTGGTCCTGAACAAATGGTGCTCTGTGACTAGACAGTGACAAACCCACCCCTGTCACCTGGCCACCATGGGGCCAGTAAGAACCTTCTTTGTGACCAGAGGGTTACAGTTCAGATCTCCCTGTCCCAACAGGGGGATGGAGAACAACTCTGTTAGCAGGACACGGATTACGATGCTTAGCCCTGTACCCCTCGGTGGCAAATAGGGACCCTGGCCAGTAAAATACAACATGTAGCTCTCTGGCCACATCTCTCGTCTGCACAGACTTGCTCAGGCTACTGGAGAATACTGAGCTACAAGACAGTCCAATGTAATACAAACACAGTTTGTATTATGCAGTTCATGTGACAGCAGTGTCAGCTCTTCTAGAGAGTCTCCAATGAGGGGAGAACATAATTCGGAATGTGAAACTAATATGATACAGATTTACTTTCCCTTGGCAGAAAACCAACGTACAATACACAGTGACTGTTTAGTTTAATTAAACAGCCTAGAGAGAGTAATACTGTATCTTATTAAGCCTCTCCTATGTTAAAATGTTAGCTAATGTAATATCAATATCTGACCATGCTTCATAGGAAAAGGAACATTTGATTGTATTTGACTCTAGTACAATAAATTGTTTGTTCCTGCCAAAACATTATGCTGTACTATAGAGGACCAACACTGCAATAAAGCACACATCTGCTATTCGGAGATATAGCACTGAAGAGAAAGATTAGCATTGACAGGATGAAATACCACATAGGATTTTCTTCCTCTCCAAGCATACAGAAATTAAAACCAAAGATTGAGTAATATTATTTTTCATAAGATAATTTCCCCATCAGAAACAGAATTTGATGAGATCAGATGCACACTGGCATATCATCATAAAACAGAACATGTTGTAGTCTCAAAACAGTGATTTGATGATGAAGTGAGGAAATAATCTAGTTAAACTGGATATTTGTAAAGCATGAATGTCCTTCACATAGAAGTCAGTGACCTAAGTCATACTTATTTTAGAACAACTAGACAGAATTCTTCATAGGGACATATTTACTAATATAAAGTAATTGAGAAGCATGGCGAGATATATAACAATAGACTAGTATCATTTGTGTCCTAAGACAACTAAAGGTGCTGGCATAAACTGTATGATTTGTGCTGTGTCATACTATACTTATTCATCCATAGTTATCAAATTGTTTCCAAAAGAAGGTGTCTACAAACAGGGACACAGAGGCACAGATTACTAAGAGAACTTTCCATAGGCTATCCAGCAAGAAATTCACCTGCAGAACATGGGTGACCTGAGCCTCAGCTTAGTATTCAATTGATCAAGTCATCCAGTCTAACACTATCACTAGAGAATATTTTCTAAAGTCTCCTAGGATTCTTACTAAAAAAATTGCTGATAAAAGTATTCCAGGGAATATTAGAGAATCTCTTGGGGTGCTGAAATTTCTTTGAAGATCTTTCTTGACCACCAAAACCATTTTCAAATAGTCTGGTTACAAGCGTTATTTGTGAGGGAACAGTGTCCTTCACAGATATCACCTTCACCTGAAGATTAAGCTTCCAGAACACTTATTTGGAAACCATGACATTCAACAGGTAGCTCATCACTCAGACAAGTGTTTAAAAACATTTATCCAGTCATTCATTACAACGTATTTCAGAAGTCATTTCCTAAGTCAGCCCACAATAATTATTCAACTGTTTTTTCTGGTCTTTGTTCCTTACCTTCCTACTGAACATATAAAGAACTCTATTTTACATATTCCTGCCCACTAAATGTAGTCCAAATTTGCAATTGTCCATCCTAATCAGTAAGTTGTTAAACATTGCTAGAGTAATTGCCAGTTAGATGTACTACTCCGAGACACTGCTGTATGTGAGCAGAACAGTATTGCAGCGTTTCACATTTCTTCTCATCACATTCAGTATTTTGTCAAAGGGGAACATCTTGAGCATTCTCCATTACAGAACAAAATAATTCAGTGCATTGTTAATATAACACGAGTTCCTAATGGAAAAATTCTCTTTATTCACAGACACAAAGATATTGTGGCTTTAAAATGGACAACAGCCCAGTCACTGGGCCATTAAACTCAAAGTTTGCCACCTCATGCCCCAAGTAGTAGACCAAGTAGTAGACAATTTGTTTGCAGACAAGTTTCGCAAAAGAATTAAGGAACATCGTTCTTGAACGATAATGGTATTTCTTCTCTCTCTTTAGACTCATACATAAGTACTTTATGTGTAGGAACTGTTTCACTCACTGCCACGCTACAAATTTAAGCTAGGGAATAAAGTTTCATATTTCAGTTGAGGTTCTCTGGAAGATTTTGGCATAATTACTGATCTCCTGTAATTTAGGCAGGATCACAGAATTAACATTTTATTAAATACATGTCACCTACTGATGGGAATTTCAGAAAAATCAGCAGAGAGCTGACCTTCTGAAATTGTTTCTCTTTGAGATAGGGAGAATGAAGTTAATAAACGTATGTGTGCATTTACACTTAAAACATAAACCAATCCTATCTGCTTGTTAAACCACAGGGGTATCTGTCAGTATCTACACAGCAGAACCCACCCTGGTTATGGCTTCTAATGCAGTAGCATCTACAAGTAAGAATGGGAATAAATTTAGAGGTGGCTCAAAGCCTCATAGTCGCATTTGCTCCAGCCTTTAAGCAGAAAATAATGAATAACCAGACTCAAACATCTCTGGATGCCATAGCTGCCTTCTGAGAGACTTATAAATTACATCCTACAATATGATATTAAACTCATCATTTTCTGCTTTAGAGGTGGAATGCAAAATGATTCAGATGTCTTATGAAAATCATCATGCAATTTAATTCCCTTAAGTGTCTTTTCTTTGTGCTTACAAGCAGCAGCAGATATTTTCTATCAGACACTCTCTTTCTTAAGTAAAGCTGTAATTACCTGGATGACCCAGCTTACAGAGTTGGAGAAAACAAAGGCAGACTTGGTCTTTCTTTTCTCTCCGTGTGGAAACAGAAATCACTCACTAGACTGACAGAGACAATGATTGAACCCCACTTCCTAGAAAACAGTTAACATTCTCCCCCTTGAAAAGAATCGTCTTTGCCTCGTCTTGCCACTTACCACATAAAAACAGAATAAATAAATAAGCAAACGAATTTCTGCTCTAAAGTTCATTTGAATCCCTGCCTTTGCGACACACACTTTCCACTGTTCTCCTGAGTCAGTCTAAAGTTTCTGGCAGCTTGAGAAATATACTTATAAATTAGGGAGGGGGAAAAATGGAAGAAATCATGGATAAAGAATAAAAGTGCACATTCATTGTCAAGATATGAAATAGTCAAAGTAGCACAGAAACTGGAAACTGGTTCATGATGCCATGTAAAGTTTTAAGAAAATATACTCTCACTTGTCTGCATTTTTATTGCATTAGCTGAATGCCTTTGGAAGGTCAGTAATTAAAGAGCAAAGGGAAAGAGTGATGTTAATAGCTGGTGCTGATATGACCAAAGTTAGATTTTGAACAGTGCAATTATGATTCTTAAGGAAACAGAGATTTAATAAATAAATAATCAATAAATGCCATAATAAAAGGATAAATGTGCATTGAGCCCAGAACATGGGCCACTAGAGAGACAACTGATGCAGGAAGAAGCCAGCTCTGTCCACCAGCTGTCACTTCAATATGGATTTTATTAATTCTTGGGCACAGCAATTGGTTTAGAGAGAGAGTGTCCAAAAGCCTTCTTCACTCCAATATTTCATATAGGGGATAGGATATGCTCCTTGCAATGTTTTATACAAGCTGCTAAAACCATGGCTTGTCATTAGTGGTACAAAACATAACAGCCTCCAGGCAGACTTTGTACTCTTACTGCTCAACCACTGTTTGAAGCAAACGGGCATACAACAGTTGGCACAGCATAAGGAGTTTGCCCCTTTGGGTTCAGAAAAGATTCAGAAATTCCCAGAAGACTGGCTCTTTGATGCCTCCTCAGGTCCAGAATCTCTCAAAAGAAAATTCTGCATAGGTCTCAAATATATCCATTTTGACATACA